CCGTCCACAGACTGTCCCAGACAGTTTAACACGCTGGCGTTATGTACAAACTAGTGGACAACTGGCATGAAATAATAGGTAAATTGAATTTTATTTTCACCCCTTCGTTGGCAGAAATTCAAATTGGTCAATTTAGCCATCAGCTGGTACAAAGGAACAGGCACACAGGCTGACTGCTGTCTTGGCCTTTGGGAACATACTGTATCGGTCTTATTCTACAACCTTCGAATAACAAGCCTTCTTAAACACGTGCTTTTGCCCCCTTCGACACTTAACTTCACCCTTCAGGAACTCCCTCAAAGCTTCTGCTTTGTTGTTAGTAAATTGGATCTATTTGTAGTAGCCAGCAACTACGTACAAACAGCACGGAATAGTGCGAGAGGGTATAAAATGTGTGACAACACAGAGAGAGAGCGCAACAGAGAGGAAGAGGAGACGGGCAGACAGAGAGCTACCTTGAGGAAGTGGAAATTAATTTGGCAGTCCTGAAAGAGACAGGAGAGAGAAACTGGAGCATTAGTAAGGAGAGAGCCAGGCGGCCATTTGTCATAAAAGGAGGAGAAGGTGCTGTGGAACAGGAGAGGCAAAGTATTCTCACAATCTGAAAGCGGGTAGGAGAAAAGGCACATTTATGCAGGAAAGAAACAAAAATACCGAAATGAGAAAGGAAAATTTAAAAGGGACATGAAGGCAATAAGGAGCAGATTTCGTGACATCCATACAAGTTAGAGATCTGGAAAAAGCAAACACTACTTGCAGATCTTTCTTTTACTTTACTTTTGGCCTTGTTATCTGGAAAATACCTTAATAATTTAATTTTGAAACCAGAGCTGTAAGTCACTACCAGTGGGATCACACAGAATTAAGAGAGCGTCATGGGTCATTGGGAAAGGAGGGTTAAGGCACAGAAGGTTCTGTTTTTTAGTTGTGCATTTTTATTTAGCTGAAAGGTGCTCTTTGAAGTATACAACTTAAGCATTTTTAAAATAGAAAAACTAATTTAGTGCTGGCTCGATTCTAGGGCTCCAGTTTT